TTTTAAACAATGAACAACAGTATTTGTATTAACTAATGTAAACAAAGATGAATAAATACTGTAATAAATGTTCATTGTTTGTTCATGTTAGTTAACACATTAAATGACACCTTACTGTAAAATGTTACCAACATTTTTAATTTGTGAACTGATGTTCAGCTTTTCTTTTTAGTAGTCAACTTATTTCGGGTCATCATCATAAAATCTCTGTAAACACTGCCACAGACACGAAGATATATCTTTTCATTTCATCACGCTGAATGCTCACTAAAAACTGACGCAGTCATCATGTTTTCAGACCATTTCAAGCTTTATTTTGACGTGACACAAAGTAGTGGTATCTAAGCGGGAGAGTTGTTTACTTTATATTTATATAGTCAATAACGCCATCATTTTCTTCATTCAGACTGAGTGCTCGCACGAAAACAAGAGGTGGGATTTATCGCATAAACCAATCACAACCGATCATATCCAATTATAGTGTGATGGAGACATTGCCTCCTCTCACGTGACTTTCCCCCATTCATTCTCAATTACAACCCAGAAAAGTCACGGCACACTAAGCGGTCTCTGTTGTAAGGCCATGGACTGAAGGGAGGCAAGCCTCCGCTGTAACTTTGCCTGCGGGTGTCGCTGTTGTACAGTGTTACTTTATAAAAACGAGTGACTTTTATACTTTTAATGCCATATTTAGTAATATTTGCGATTTATGTTTGTAATATCGATTATTTTGCCATCCAATTATTTGAGGAGACACTGCCTCCCTTGCCTCCTCGGAGGGAACGCCCCTGGTACATATATATGTGTATTTTCTCAATTAATATGTAATTAAAACTGCGGGTATACAAACCCGATTCCAAAAAAGTTGGGACACTGTACAAATTGTGAATAAAAACAGAATGCAATGATGTGGAAGTTTAAAATTTCAATATTTTATTCAGAATACAACATAGATGACATATCAAATGTTTAAACTGAGAAAATTTATCATTTTAAGGGAAAAATAAGTTGATTTTAAATTTCATCAACACATCTCAAAAAACTGAAAGTAGAAACTTTTATTTAGATTACTTTTTAAAGAAGTATAACTTGTCATGTTGCTGGACAGTGTAGTTACAGTTTTAGATGTCATGTAAACTACCTACATACTTGTATTCAGTGTAGGTTTGCTTCCCTGCAGGTTTGTAATATTTCCTGTCATATGCTACCATCATAATGCATCATATCATAGTAACTGAAAGTCATTGTTACTACAGTAAAACCATTGCTATTTGGTATTTTCCACTACTGTCAAACAAATAAAACTACAAGAAAAATAAAATAAAAACTATGGAAAGATTCTTACACGTTCTATAGTAGATCCAATATTAATAAATTACTTTTTTTATAGTTTTAGTGTGACATTTAGGCAGACATTACTATGGTTTTATGATTACTATGGTATATTTTTGTTAGGTTTTGACCGTATCCTCATAAGATTTATTTTCTGTATTTAGTGATTTTTCTTTGGAATGGTTTGTATTAGACCTGGGCGATAAAACGGTATTGATATTTATCGATGGTACACTTCGATAATGATATAAAAAATGTTCGATAATTGTGCATGATATAGGCACGAGCTCTGAGTGACGCAGACAGCACACACAAACACGAACACATGCTGAATTGAGTGCTGTGACTGCCTGTGATGAGGAGATTGTGAATAAAAAAATTAAGATTAGTCGAATTTAAAATAAACATTTGCATTTGAATGCAAAAATGGTACAATCAAATGTTAGGAGTGCGTCAGGGAGTATCATCAGTGGAGCACGAGATGCGGTGATGATGATGTAAGTGACATTGTTGCATTTTAAAGGGGTCATATGACGTTGCTAAAAAAAACATTATTTTGTGTATTTGGTGTAATGAAATGTGTTTATGCGGTTTAAGGTTCAAAAAACACATTATTTTCCACATACTGTACATTATTGTTTCTCCTCTATGCCCCACCTTTCTGAAATGCGTCGATTTTTACAAAGCTCATCGGTCTGAAAAGCGAGGTGTGCTCTGATTGGCCAGCTACCCAGTGCGTTGTGATTGGCCGAATACCTCAAGCGTGTGACGGAAGTGCTATGCCCCTTACCATACTGTGATGCCCTGTCCGGCCGGAGTGACGATTCAAAAACATGAAAACCCATTACAAACGAGGCATTTGTTGCATCCAGTGGGGACATAATTACTGATTATAATGACTTATACTGTCTTTTTACGTGTTGAGTTGCGTATCGCCATGTCTGCTTTTGTGATCAGAGAAACGACAAACAACAAGCGCTACTCTACACTGTTCAAAACTCACGTTTGAATCGTCAGTGATCAATTTTTTAAATATGAAAATGTACTTACAGGCTGTGAGTCAGAAGTGCCAGACTGTCCTTGCAAAGTTGTAAATGCCCCACTTTATAGAAACAGCCTTTGTGCCACAGACCCATTGTAGGCTACTCTGCAGGTTCAGGAAACAGTCCTCCATAAAATGCGCTGCACACATCTGAATATTTGGGTTGAACTGTTCTGGAAATACAACTTAACCACTGATTTCTAGTCGTGTCCTCTTTTGGAAGACCAAACAAAGTAGTTTCGCTTTCACAATGAAACACAGCGTGTGTGTTCACGGCATGGCGGCGGCAGCAACAATACTACAGTGAGAATAAAAGTTACGCCTTCTTTCTTTGCGTGAACATTTGGGCGGTGTTATGCAAATCTTCCCACACAGTGACGTAGACATGTGGGGGCGTGTTAGAATGAGCCGTTTTAGGAGCGTGTGGACAAGTCTTAACTTTTATAAAGAATATCTCTTTGGGTTTGAGACTTTAGTCTTTGCAACTTTAGGGATCTTATCTATTCACGAACAGCTTGTAACACCGCAAAGAGAAATGAAAATTTTAAATTGCGTCATATGACCCCTTTAATGTTTTGTCAGTTTAGCCCACGAGACACACAGTTGCTGCATTATGCATTCAAAATATTAGAGAAATATAGAAGCTCAATGCGGAGAAGATCTTAAATGGGTTAAAACCGAAACTAAGCCATTCACACAGAACGCATATTCAGCACATTTTTTAGACAGACAAATATGACTGCTGCACTCGCGTCTCACACAAGAGATGAAGCCATGCAAAGTTAAAACAGTTTAAACTTTTAGAAAAAACGTTGCGAATTTGTGGAGGTTTATTCATTTTCACTGCGTCTCATATGTTTTTAAATCCAATCTGAGTGAATGGTGTCCTCCTGTGGCCTCGGGAGACAAGCCAAATATTTCCTTAAGACCTATTTAATCGGCATATAAAACATTAGAAATTAGATATTTGTTTATTTTTTATTGTGTGTTTGACTGTTAAAACAAAAAATATTTGTTGTTTGTCTCAATAAATTGGGTTAATTAAAAAATACAGTGGTTAAATTAAAAAAAAAAATTATATTGCTCTTTGTTTTAAAAAAGGTTTAAAAAATGTCAATAATTATCGATACCGAAAGATATGAAACATTATATCGTTGATAAATTTTTTAGCTGTATCGCCCAGCCCTAGTTTGTATATTTTGACAGTCATCTGGTGCTGGGAACATTTCATCCACACATCCCATATGGGCACTCCAAACACACAGAATGGACTTTTCTTTTATCTCCTATCTCAGAGCACAAGCTTAGTTCATTCCAAGGCAGGATCTGTAGCATTTACTACGGCATATGGTGGCTGGATTCACAGCAGAGCTGCTGACTTTTACCCACCATACAATGTGGCTTAATGTAACTGTCGATTTTAAATCTATGTTGTTCAGGCTGAAAAAGCAGAGCTGTCCAGATGGTCACTGCAAGTGCTTGCACTCTAGTTTAAATGTTTGGCTATCTGACGTCTTTGTTGAGCATCTCTCGAGGCAGGACGGAAGAGAGTTGACCCACAATAGTAATACAGCTCACAGCACCTCTGACCTCATTTAGTATCATCACTTAACGTAATGACTTTTGTGTCTTCTCAGAAAATTTGGTACATAGAAATAAGAGAACAATTCAAATGTACATATAATTATATATACAGTGGGTACGGAAAGTATTCAGACCCCCTTAAATTTTTCACTCTGTTATATTGCAGCCATTTGCTAAAATCATAGATAGATAGAGGCTTGTGTCTGCCTGAATACTGAACTGAACCGAAACCATGACCCCAAAACCGCAATGCGTAACGAATCGTGAGAAACTTGAACCATTACACCCCTATTTCTAACTACCTGTTTTCTTTTTATTTATTATAAAAAACTTGACCCTCTAAAACTAACACTCTCTATTCTATTTCTATTCTACCTACTTTTATTTTTATTTATTTAAAGAAGTATGTGTATATATATGTATGTATATATATGTATGTATAAATATGTATGTGTGTGTATATATATATATATATATTAGGTCAGTATTTGATCTTGGATCCCCCTACATTAAAATGTTCCCACACATCTTATGTTTATATAAATAACTACTTGGTTGTTGTGCTGTTATGAAATGGAAATTACTGGAAAGACCTACATATTTTAATTATGATTTGACTTGGAATCTGTTTGAATAAACTAGCTAGAAATGTGTGTCTAATCTCACTTTTTGATCCAGAAATACAAATTAATCTGTAGCATGGCTGCTGCTCAAATCTCCAGCTTTTATTTTCAGACTAAACAAGCATGTGTTTGCCTGCTCTTTCTCTGTCTCTCTCTCAACCTCTCTTTCTTCTTACTGTTCTGGATTAATTTTAATGCCAATGAATCAATCTAATAAATTGCCTCTGTTTAATTTGATCTGCTGCCAGCTAGAGATTATGTTGTTTTTTAATAAAAAAACAAAACAAAAACAGTAGACAAAGTGTGGTGTATGGAAAGTTCTACATAGTTTGAGTAGGTATTAAAAAGATATTTATAGTTTCTCTCTCTCTCCCTCTTTCCCTCTCTCCCTCTCTCTCTCTCTCGCTCTCTGTTCATAGACATCCAGGAGTTTTATGAACTGACCCTGCTGAACTCTCAGAAGAGCTGTGAGCAGAAGCTGGTGGAGGTGAATCACATGGCTGAGCAGTGGAAACAAACTGCCACCAACTCAACCTCACCCACAGAGGGTCCGCAGCCAGCCTCCATACCGCCAGAGGTGAGACGCAAAAAAAAAAGTATAACAAATGTTTTAATTATCAGTTTAAGAGGTCTTAAATTTGAGGATGGAAAATTGTCATACAACATTTCATTAAATAAATATGAGCACTGCACATTCAAAGTCAAAACGCTGCACAGTACATTTTACAGGCTCACGGTTTCAGAGCAGTTCACAATCAATAGAAAGGATACCTATAATTAATGACAGAATGATTAAAACCTAGTGTATCTTTTGGATTCTAGTATATGTATATGTGTGTGTGTGTGTGTGTGTATATATATATATATATATATACATATACAGTGGAGATCAAAATTAGAGAACAATCTATAAATACTGTTAATCTTCATCGCTCAAAATTTGAAGGAATATTAGCTGTAGGTATACCACTGATACACTAACATGTTTTACAAGTTAACAAAGGCATTTAAACAAAAATCTTTATTGTGTGGAAAACACAGTGATCAAAATTAGAGATCAAATCAAGTCACCTTTATTTATATAGCACTTTATACAATAGAGATCAGTGTCAAAAAGGCTTTATAGTGTCAAACAGGAAAATAGTTTGTCAATAATGCAAGACGACAAGAACAGACAGTCAATGTTTCAGTTAAAGTCAGTTCATTGATGTTTCAGTATGGAGCGTATAGGTGCGTTTCCATTACAGATTTACGCAAAACTTTGACGATATTTTATAAATGTCGATAAAGTATTGCGAAATGACGGCGTTTCCATTAACCAATGTTATGCGACTAAAACGTAACCTTTTGCCTCTTGCGATAAGTCATGGCAATGGATTTTGGCTATATTTATTCAAAGGAAGCGTATGCGTGTATCTTTACAGAAGCAGCACAGAGAGCCGCTTCAGAAACGTGCGTGGAGGCGGCTGTAATAAGCACAAGCATTGACTAGCGTGGCCGCAATCAGATTCAGTAGCCGTATCGGAGTCACACTGCACCGCAGACGTGTGCAGTGTAAATTGTCTAAGCATTAATGGTACGGAAAGCCCCTTATACTGGAGAGGGGCCACGTAAGAAGTGTTTCTTGGATGTTATAGTAGACTACATTGAAGAATGATCATATTACTTTTTACATACGCCATGTCAAGTCAAGTTAAGTTTTTTGTACAGCGCTTTTCACGATACAAATCATTGCAAAACAACTTTACAGCAAATTAAGTTTCTACAATATTTAGTGGTAGCTTATCAGTGGTGACTGTCAGTTAATGTACATATGGCAGAAATGTACGGAAAAATCAATTTAAGACGTAATAAAACAGACGATGAACACTATTAACAGCAATTATTATATGATGCAATCAAACTTATAGCAAAATGTGGTAGTTCTGTATGTTGTTTCAGGGTTGGCATCATCTGAGGTCCTCTGAGGGGTTGGCATCATCTCTTCTCAGGTGTTCTGGATCCAGACTGAAGCTTGTGTAAATCCTAGTTACCACGGGATGCCAATCCAGGCAAAAAACAGAGAAACAAATAGAGACATAATTAGCGTAGCTGCTGTTCCAACTAAGCAAAATTGATTTGTTTAACCCAAACTAAAGAATAATAATGTGCATTTGATCAGATATAACTGCAGTACAAGATTATGAGATGCATTATTTGAATGCTTGGCCAAAGAGATGTGTCTTTAATCTAGATTTAAACAGAGAGAGTGTGTCTGAACCCCGAACGTTATCAGGAAGGCTATTCCAGAGTTTGGGAGCCAAATGCGAAAAAGCTCTACCTCCTTTAGTGGACTTTGAAAGGCATTTAAACAAAAATCTTTATTGTGTGGAAAACACAGTGATCAAAATTAGAGATCAAATCAAGTCACCTTTATTTATATAGCACTTTATACAATAGAGATCAGTGTCAAAAAGGCTTTATAGTGTCAAACAGGAAAATAGTTTGTCAATAATGCAAGACGACAAGAACAGACAGTCAATGTTTCAGTTAAAGTCAGTTCATTGATGTTTCAGTATGGAGCGTATAGGTGCGTTTCCATTACAGATTTACGCAAAACTTTGACGATATTTTATAAATGTCGATAAAGTATTGCGAAATGACGGCGTTTCCATTAACCAATGTTATGCGACTAAAACGTAACCTTTTGCCTCTTGCGATAAGTCATGGCAATGGATTTTGGCTATATTTATTCAAAGGAAGCGTATGCGTGTATCTTTACAGAAGCAGCACAGAGAGCCGCTTCAGAAACGTGCGTGGAGGCGGCTGTAATAAGCACAAGCATTGACTAGCGTGGCCGCAATCAGATTCAGTAGCCGTATCGGAGTCACACTGCACCGCAGACGTGTGCAGTGTAAATTGTCTAAGCATTAATGGTACGGAAAGCCCCTTATACTGGAGAGGGGCCACGTAAGAAGTGTTTCTTGGATGTTATAGTAGACTACATTGAAGAATGATCATATTACTTTTTACATACGCCATGTCAAGTCAAGTTAAGTTTTTTGTACAGCGCTTTTCACGATACAAATCATTGCAAAACAACTTTACAGCAAATTAAGTTTCTACAATATTTAGTAGTAGCTTATCAGTGCAGGCCATGTGACCTGCAAATGCGAAAAAAAAAGTTTCCATTGCAGTTTTGCGAATTATTCCTTTTTTGCATTGCCTGAAAAACCACTTAATGCGAGCGTAAAAGCATTTTTGCGATATATGGGCATTTTTGCGAAATTGATGCATTTCCATTAGGTGTATTTTCAATTCACAATTTCAATTTGTGCAATTTGAAGGGTAATGGAAGTGCGCCTATTGATATCATCATCCAGTTTAGCTCTCTTCCAATAGTGTCTGTGCAATGAAGCTGACAATATTGCCAGAAATTAAGCGTCCCCAACTAAGCAACCCAAAGGTGACAGCGGCAAGGAACCAAAACTCCATAGGTGACAGAAATTAAGAAAAAAAACCTTGGGAGGAGGCTCAGTGGGGGGACCAGTTCTCCTCTTGCCAGACAAAACCAGCATGGCATGGTTTAATTCCAGGCTGCAACACCGGTCAGATTGTGCAGAGTACGTGTCTGGTTCCCATGGTCTTGTCCCGATGTTGACGAGGTCTTCGCAGGGGATCTGTCTCTGTGGCTCATCTAGTTGACATGGTCTCCGCTGACATTCAGAGCTGTAGAGGTCATCTCTAGATGCTGATCCACCATCTGGTCTAGATATGGACTGGATCTGGGTGGCTATGGTGACCTCGGAATAAGAATGAAACAGACTAATATTAGCATAGATGCCATTCTTCTTACAATGTGATGAGTACATAGGCATGGGTGATAAAACGGTATCGATATTTATCGATTGTACACCATCATCGATAACGATAGAAAAAATGTTCGATATATCGCACAATAGTTTCACACTTTTTTTCATTTAAAGGCGCGTGCTATGAGTGACAAGCAGACAGCCAACAGGACACGCGAACACATGCTGAAATGAGTGCCGTGCCTGCCTGCGATGAGGAGACTGTGAATCAAAAAATACATATTAGTCGAATTTAAAATAAAATTCACATTTGAATGCAAAAATGGTGTATTTGAATTTTAGGTGTGCGTCAGGGAGCCTTATCAGTGGTGCACGAGATGCGGAGATGATGATGTAAGTGTCGTTGTTGCTTTTTAATGGTTTTGTTAGTCTATCCAGTTGAACCCACAAGATGCGCCGCTGCTGCATTTTTCGTTCAAAATATTAGAGAAATATAGATGCTCAATGCGGAGAAGATATTGTTTAGGTTAAAGCCAAGCCATTCACACAGATGCATATTCGGAGCATTCTTGAGATGAACAACTATGACTGTTGCACTCGCGTCTTGCACAAGAGATGAATAGAAAGCCATATAAAGTTAAAGGAGGTTCAACTTTTAGAAAACCATGTCTCGAGAATTTGTGGGGGTTTTATTCCATTCCACTGCGTCTCATATGTTTTTACATGCAATCGTGTGATTGGCGCTTTGGCTATTTGTATTAAGCTATGCATAAATACATGAAGCTGTTTTGTTCATAATTATTTATGCAATTAACAAAATTATATTTGATTTATAAATATTAGTTTAGACAGTAAGCACTTTTTTATAGACGGTCTTTATTTCATTGCATTGAATAAACAATTTAATGAGGTGCATTATTTTGCTAATTGCGCCCTCCTGTGGCCTCAGGAGACAGGCCAAATGTTTCCTTAACACTTATTTAATCTGCATACAAAATATAAGAAAGGAGATATTTGTTTACATTTTATTTTGTTTAACACTAAAATAAGTTGTTGTTTGTCTTAATAAATTGGGTAAATTAAAAATACAGTGGTTAAATTTAAAAAAAAATTCTACTGCTCTCTGTTTAAAAAAAGGTTATAAAAAATGTTAAATAATTATCGATACTGAACGATATGAAACATATCGCGATACAACCCTCTATGCACACCTTGGCAATTTAATCGCCATTGGCTAGTAAATGTTTTTGCTTACTCGCCAGACTGATATACTATTTTACACACACACACACACACACACACACACACACACACACACACACACACACGTTTACTTAGCTATCTAAATGGGGACATTACATAGACTTCTATTGTTTTTATATACAGATAGTTATACACTTTTTAACCTAAACCCACCCCTAACCTTACCCATCACAGAAAACTTTCTGCATTTTTACAATTTCAAAAGTAAAAAAAAAACGTTGTTTACTTTATTTTTATAACATCCACAAATTGAGGTTTTTGCCGATTTTGTCAGGCTTTGCTCACTTTTGGGTACAAATTTGTCCCCAAAATATGGTTAAGTAGGTGTACACACACACACACACACACATGATTCCACCCAATCAGCTTATCTTTGTAAAATGGAACAGCTTCTTAAATAACTGAATGTGGACTCTTAACTTCAGCCAATCAAGCAATATATTATGATGTTATGATAATTAAGCACTATTTAATTATAGAACTAGTGATTAGAACTAAAACTTGGTAACCATGAATGAATGCA